CGCGAATAAGAGCTTTCAGTATTCTCAAGACCAATAGGGATCTTACAGCTCAGATATTTACGAAAAAAAACAATGAAACCTCTTACAAAATCTTTTGGGCCCATCGAAGTTGAGGTAGTGAAACAAGAAGGATTCTATAGCAAAGCGGCCTGGCCTTCTAAATCAATTGCTATCAAGTCGAAGAGATAAACTGTAGATCAATATAGATCTGTACAAGTAATATTTATTCAACACATGGGGTTGGTTGGTAAGCAGGGCCAAACTTCGTCATACTGACTATTGCAGAGAATTCGGTATTAATGGACTGCCTGTCAAATGTAGGCTTGAAAACTTTCCCAACTTTTCCTTGATTTCAAGTGGGAACCGATCACGTGTGGCGTTTCAGCCATGCCGATAGTTAACTGAGAATTAATAATTATTTCAGATTATTCCAATCACACTGATTACTTATGTCCGAAGTTGGCATGATCCTCAACGTCTGACTAAGAAACTCCCGGAGCTTTTGAAAGCATGCAAGCCGTCAAAATCCCATCTGATTACTCCATTAAGCTTATCGGAAAGGCAAACCCGTTGAGATGAAGCTAATTTTTTATTATATTGGATAAATAAGGAATATTCGAGAAGTGTAATGCAAGAAAATTGGCCTGATCAAAACATAATAGGAAGGAAGGCAAGGTGCCTGCAATTGCAAAACTTCTGGGAATGGAGGGGAATGTTTCTGCCTTTTTTGACAACCTTTGCGATAGATCGTCCTCTCTGTTCCGAGGATGTGGTATAGACTTTGCTGTAATTCCGTTTTCCAAAGAGACTACATAGCTCTCCAGCATCCCACATAAATTGAGACTTTATCAAAAAATGTTTGATGGTTTTCTTGCAAATTCTTGAACATCTTACTTTTAGAAGCCTGTAGTTAGGCCAAACTTTCAAATTCGAGTCAGCATCTCAATTGCATTCAGCAGACTTATGCTCTGCATTTATTTTCGGTGCAGCGGAACTCTTGACTCTCCTCGGTGATCCCTGAAAAAGAGATCGAAGTTTAAAGTTCACTACACAAAATATTTTTTATGTTTTTCTGAGTTGCCGAGACATTTTCACCTTTCGAAGGGAAAATATTTTATTTCTGTAAGTAGTTGGGTATGCCTAACAATCCATCCAATTAATTTCAGAGAGAACTGAGCTAAGTTCAGGAGTGTCTAGAACCTGCGCTTTTCCTATTACTAGAAACTTTTACTGCAAAAATTGTGATAACAAATGGGAACAGACGATTTTTGACAAATAATCAAGTTTTTGTGGTCGAGATGAAACTCCAATTGATGGGATTTTTTAATTCAGATCAATTTCGTATGTGTTCTCTGAAAAAAGACTAGAAGTCCAGGTTCTTGCCTGACGTTTGAACAAATAGAGAAAACAGCAACGGAAGTCAAACTTACCTGCAGTGCAACACATTGTAAAAGTCGTTCAAAAGTTTTGAATTGACTTTTAAACTCAAAGGTCAAGGAATATATCGATTAACATGAACTTTATCCTCTTTCTGATTCTGCGCATTTTCACTTGCTGGCCAACGATTAGATTAAAAAGAAATCATAAAGGAAGGATATTTATTTATATTTATATTAAGCAATTTATTCGACGTCGATGTATTTCTACGCATGCAAGGCCGTCTCATTTGAAATAGGCTTGGATGGATCGTATTTTCTCATTTATTGGTCTAATTAGAGCTTTATCTATCCTGGCAAAGTGATCCGGAACACAACCTTGTTTTCATCAACTGACTATTGGCTAGTAGATCTTTTTTTAGCATAAATTAGAGGGAGAGAAAACACGAGGGTGACTTTGCCAATAATGCTCTTTGAATAAATGCTTCCATGGTTTAACAACTTCAAGAAAGTTCGCGGTTTCACAGGTTTTACTACGACTACTGGTCGATTTTCTGCTGGAGTTTATTCATTTTCATTCAACTTTTTTGATAACTTTTCCCTTGGAGTGAATAAAGTTGCAATTTGGGAGCAGAAACTGAGAGTTGGCATTGTTTAAGACAATCTCTCTGCTTCTTGGCTTGTGCAAAAGTGCGGAAAGGATTAGATAGGTCCTTAAAGAACTATTCTTCAGTGTAATCGAGTATATATGTAGTATTGTGTGCGTATTAAAATAAAAAATATATCCACTTTACAATATTTCTGATATAAGAAGTAATCGCGCATATTTTTTAAAATGCACTTGTCAAGCCCTTATAAGTTACATAACCATCAGTGTCGGGTAGCAAATCTTCTATCATTGAATAAATATGTGTTTCATATTATATATATTTCATATTAGCTTTTTTGTATTATTTCATATTAGCTTTTCAGTATTATTTACAACAAGTTGCAAATATCGCATTTACTTATTTTTCTATTTGAATTCTGTCTGAAGGTGGCAAAGGGCGAAGGTGGTGCACTAGCAAGTGAGGTTTTATCACACTCATGGCCACGCGTTCGAATCTGGAATCTTTATCCGCCTAGGCCAACCAAGCCTTTCATTCCTATGGGGTTGGTTAATCGGTACCAGACTTCACTGGGAGTTCAAGGGCAATGACTTTTACAACGGTTTTCCACCGCAGTTCATTGTATAGACCACCTACGCATTCACTATGTAGGCCACTACAAGTTTGAACAGAAGTTAAATGCAGGGCCACACCTTTAGACGGGATTGACTAACACCCAAAGACTTCAAAACTTCGACTTTCTCACCTGTTAACGGACCAGAATAAAAATTTTCAAAGAAGGACTTCAGCGGCTGCATGCAGTACTGGGTGGGAAAGCTTCACTGCGAGGTTTTCGCAGTTGTTCAGTGGCCCTTTTGTCTTTCTTTGCAGTCTAGTAACGCAAAATGTTCGAAGAAGATGTGAATTTACTTTTCGTGTCTCCTGCTGTACTACTGTACTTAAGTGGACCCGAACCTCTGTATAGTACTCAATTCACAAATATCTCTTCAAATCAACCAACAAATTTAATCAACATCGATCGGTATTGATCAGTGGTGCTATTGAAGAGGTATCTACAACTTATACCATTTTGGTCGTAGGAGGTGAAATTTCAGAAACTGGATACTGTGTCCATCAATCAATATCGATCAGTAATGATTTGCACTGTCATTCACTTAACAATCACTAGGACCTATTTTTGATCATAGAAGAGAGTTATGCTGTTGTGGATTGACAGCTATGCACTTTTGCTGTTCAGGAATCACCCACATGCGTCAAGTTCCCATAGGCCACCCCCTTTCCGTAGTTTCACCACGCACAAAAGTACGTCATAATGACATTTTCGGAGCATTGTGACAGAGAGGATGTAAATAGCCTGAAATTCGCGTCACAATTCAATGAATCGCCATCAGTAAAATCGGTTGAGCCCCACAGCTCCCCTTCCCTATTTGAGAAATTGAACTGCCAAAAAATGCTGTTCCTTTATAGTAAATGAAAAAATGAAATTGTTATCATCGGCAATCGAAAATATTGCCCCGTATGCCAAGACCCTAGGGCAGAAATAGGAAGTGGAGGCGAGGATGTCTTGTATGAGAACCTTCTCAAGCAGTTTTGACGCCTTGCTTGCCCCTAGACCTGAAGGTACCTCTCCCTAAAGGCCCCTCTTTAATGGAATACAAGCAAAAGCGTAGATCTCCAAAGGTGGAAAAGTCAACGAGAGCACCCGCCAAGATCTCGACATACATACATATACACCCCTCCTAAAAATTGTTGGTTTTTCGGTTTGTGCGAGATTACATGGGGTTGGATGAGATTGCAACATGAAAGAAGATATTTGGACGAGATTTTCGTGTAGCCTAGGACGGTCAACTTGTCACATTTACGTCAAGGGCGCTGTCCTTTGCACTGTGTGTACCAGTCCTCACCTGAAGCAGCCACAAGAACGTCGTTTGGTATACATTACAGGGTGACCTTTATCGGTAATGGATGTGTGTGAAGGTTTTCGAGTTTTCAATAATCACGATTTAAACAGCACTTTGACGCTACAACCGTTCACCTCGGTCACGGTAAGTCCCGATCTTTGGCCATAAACGCGAGGAAAAGTGGTGCTAGAATTTTTTGATAACTTTACCATAAATAAATGCGTACTGGTCCGTCCAGGAACAGAGTCCTCTCTCTGTACGCAATTACTGCATGATAGAGTTATCCCTTTGCAAAAGGACTCACTTTCTAATCCGAGACTTGGGCGGACTACCAATGCAAAGTCTGAACTGTAATCTGAACTGACTTAACATATCTTTATTCCATTAAGTACTTTTCACGAAGAGAAAAATGGCGTCTCCGCTATATTCTAGCTACTTCGAAATGATCAATTTTACCAGCCCGCTGGTATTTCGGAATCGAGGGTTCTCTGAAAATAGTTAATTTCCAGTGAAGCATGGCTAAAGGCTGCCGAACTGACTCCCACGTGGGTATGGGCTCTGGTCGACCTACCTGAGACGATGCATGCCAATTATCGGGAAAATGCCCGGTTTCTACGCCTCATTCAGCAGGTATGTTTTCTTTTGTAGCTTCGGAATGCAACTACTCAAGAAGATGACAATGACCCCATAGCGGAAGGAATACTGGAAGAAATACTTCGTCGAGCTCAAACTAGTTTCGGAAAAAGAATCAGAATCATATGAATATTCTTGAAAGAGAATTGCCCAGTTCCGTGTAGGAGGTTTAGCGCCATAGATAAAAACTTGTAATAGAAAATAAAGATATTACTAGCTGAATGCTAAGCTGGAAGAAGACATCATTTTTCATCGAAAACAAATCAGTCTATAACCTACCAGGAGTTATTGCTCTCATTTGAAGTCTCTTCCTAGGTTCCTACACTACAAACGGCTTTCGGTTTCTTTCAGTTTCACGATTTCTTCTGATGAGGAAATGCAACTTGGAAACTTTTTCTTGCAATGCTATTATATAATATTATCAATGATGCCGTCCACTTTCGTTCGCTTTTGATGTAATCCTTTGTGACAACTCTGAAAATAAGATTAATTTATTACAAAAACATAGCGTCCAAAGAAGTTCTCTTCATCGATTCTGAGAAAAGACGTGTACAACAAGATTTTGAGGACGTTCTGGTGAGACATAAACTGGTGTTTTGTGCCTGAAGTAGCTTAAACGTTAGCCTTCACGAATGAAAACCTCTTTGGTGCACTTATCGGACGATTACCGAGATTATAGGACCTAAAGTAGAATAGATTTTGAAGACATTTTGTCTGATGCAGTTGGCACTTCTACATATTATAACTATTACTCAAAAAGTAAAAGTGCAAAACTCCAGAGGGATGACCCTCTAACCGCAAGCCATTATCTATTAGAAACGCCTCCCAAATATCTTAATTCTTCTATGGAGAATTTGAATTCTTGGCGCATTCCATTTGTGGCTATGTGAAATTACATCTTGAAGGCGCAGTCCTTGTAAAAATGGCTTTATCACCTTCTGGTTGATAAGGCTTCTCGGCTCTACGAATGACCGTTGAGGGTGTTGTCGGATCGAAAAGCGGCCATGGTTTGAAAGTAGTCTCGGCTCAAAGTTGCCCCACTCGATTCTACCAGGAAATTATGGATTACCCGGTTTGTGGGTGATGTCATTCAAAATGGAGGACATTTGTTGTAAGTTCAGTTAGCTGATAGTTGACTCAGGTTGCGTGGCCGCACCTGGACTCTCGTCCAAAGACCTCGTTCACCGTCAACTTCGTCCAACCGTAGATCCTAGTCCGAAGATCTCTTAATCCGCAATTCTGAGAATTTAATCGTTTTCTTAATCACTGGAAAACTACGTTGCATCAATATTTTGGTCGCCTAACCCTATAAGGTTGAACTATCCTGGACTGGAACTCCAACTGAGAGCTTCAATTCTTCGCCCCATGCAAATTGCTGCTTAAAGAAATTGTTATGACAATATTATTCGGTAATAAATGTGCAAACACAGCCATTGCAATATATGGTCACACTTTCCATTTTCCGTTATTTTCTTCACTTTTTAAGGGACCACAAGTCACAGCATTTCGATGCGCTGTTTTTTGGTTGAGATGTCTGTCACAGTAGGTTCCATTGCACATTTCATTGACGCCTACGTTGTCACGGGCGTCGAGATTGAACGAGACTGGCCAAGAAAACACCGAACTAAATTGCGGACAAGAAAATTAGAGCTCATTAAATTTGATTTCTGTCGGAATCGGATTAGACGTTCATCGAATAGAACGACGAAGCTGCAATACTGCTGCACTTCCCTTGCTGTTCCACGAATCCGCCTACATCCTCTATCATCATCCTCTGAGGATTGGATTACCGTCTTTGTTTTTTGATCTGAACTCATGAAAACGGATACGGTACATCCGAAATATGGTTGCATCGATGCCAGAAAGGTGAATGATGAAGTCTTCTGCGTTCCTTTTCACAATGCGCCTCGCATTCGATTTCCATTCAGACTCGTAACCCTTTCAATGGAGCCTGTATGATTCATACTACGACTTACAGTAGATAACCAATGTACATACCGTGCTTTCATCCTCACAGACGAGTCTGGTATCATTTGATGGACTGAGAAGTATGGTGGGCTTGATTGGTTCAGGCCTGTCCCGCTCCAGGGATCGAACTTAAGGCCATGCGCGCTATAGTGCATCAGTTGGGGTTAGTTCATCGTTAGGAACGATTTTCTGTATTCGATTGGCCGCACGCGGATGTNCTTCCTACAGCTCAATCGATATGTTACCCTTATTTTAATCATGATTCTACTGTTAATTCTTTTGTTCCTATATTTCTCACTTGCTGCTGCATTCTGCTACATTCCTTCGCGTGCGGCGTCTCTCTCGCCGCGACGCGACAATTTCGTTCCTACTGCACCACACCAAATTAGTTGACGCCATACCACCTCCATCCATAAAGTGCTGTACTTTTTTCATCGAATAACGACTGACTTATGTAGTTGAATCGTGATTATGTATTTCAGGTTCGGGACTTCTTACATCTCCTCATCAAAGTGCATAAATGCGAAACAGAAATGATCAAGACATTAGCATTTCGACTTGGGACACGACATAAGTGAGTACAGCAAAAACAGATTTTCTTGCTTTTTTGAATAATGCTTAAACAATAGCACTATACGCCTCTATAGAACTTCTCCAATTTACCTTTCTTATGCCCTTGATTTCTCCCATACGTTTTTGGCACTATTGTGGGACCCTTTGGACTCCCATATTCTCCCTCTTCGAATATTGTAGGCTATGTGACTTCTCAGGCAAAATATCAGTAAACCGATTATAAAACAGTGGCAAGGGGTGTGATGACAGATGAAAGAGCTCTCTGATTGAGCCCCCACGGAAGTCTCTTCATCCTAAGAAGATATTAGGTTTTGAGCATCGCCATGATTCCGATCAGGTTTCAGAGTAATGGCGCACACTGAAATTGATTAGATTGATGTTAAACGGCTTTTAAATGCAGGCTGCAAGCTCAGTCAATTTTTCTATAAGCAAATTTCCTTCCATTTTTATTTTGTAGTTTATTAATTACAAGTATTACAGAGGCTACATGAACGAAGGCAATGACAACTCCTACTGGGCTCCATTCGCTCAACAACTGCCGATCGCCATCGCCAAGACATATATGGATGTTGTCAATCATGATAATAGGTCGGTTTGCAGGTTTTTCTTAAGTTTTCTCTCATCTGCAATTTTATGCCGCACCCATTCCTGAACTTTACCTTCCGTGCAGAAATATCAGTTGGCCCAAAACCACCGAAACAGCAACAGTTCCGCTACTGAAAGTGTGGAGTAGAAGTGAANTGGGCTCCATTCGCTCAACAACTGCCGATCGCCATCGCCAAGACATATATGGATGTTGTCAATCATGATAATAGGTCGGTTTGCAGGTTCTTCTTGAGTTTTCTCTCATCTGCAATTTCATGCCACACCCATTTCTGAACTTTACCTTCCGTGCAGAAATATCAGTTGGCCCAAAACCACCGAAACAGCAACAGTTCCGCTACTGAAAGTGTGGAGTAGAAGTGAACCCAGGCGATGGGGGAGCATTCATATCGCCCCGCCTATTTCAACGATGTCGTCGTTCACGCTGTACTTCTCTATCGGTACTGCTGAATCTGAAGAAGACGACTATGCTCCAGGAGATTTGAATTGGGGCTATACTGTATACTCACACAAAAATTACTGTCTGCCAAAATATGCAAAAATTTTCAAGTTTGTCAGCGGGTCGAGTTTCAGAGAAAAAAGAAAAGGTCAGCCTCAGATCAGTGTCTGCCACAAAACCCTTCACGAGGCCTTTTTCCTTTGTCAATGAGGCATGCGGCAACGACAGGGCTGAGAACCTTTCTCTTCTAACCTGATACCATTCACCTTGGATATTTCGATTCACTACCTTGAACTTGAAATATTTTCCGAAAGAATCAGCCAAATGCTTTTTTATTAGATATCACACAAAACCGGCTAACCGTTGAAATTGAAGGGGAATGGATGGCATGACTGTCTATCCAGATGATATGGTGGAAGTACATTCCGCGTTCATGGATACTTACCCGATCAGATTTGATTAGATCACTGACATTTCCTTGTCTCGTTCATGGAACAAAGGCCAAATTCAATTTTCTTGGAACTTGATTCTTCGATGTGCATTTCCCAAAGAGAAGGGTCTAATAGTATCAATCCCAGTCAAAAGCCCCATCTGCGCCTTCTCATAGCGTGGGTGAACGGAAGTACGTCACTTCACTATCCTTTACTGGAAAAATGATAATAAGTCAGAATGTTATAGGGGCTGAGAAGAATCCCTTGAATCTTCATTCCATTTAACTGCCACTTAGGCAATATTCGGTCTTGGGATGAGGAGATTAGCGCCAGGTGGCGTCTGCAGTGAAGACCAGTACTGAACCCACCTTCATTATTCGTCCGGACCACGCTATTCTCCCTAATTTCCAAGGCCGAGCAGTACCATTTAATGGGATAAAAGCATTGAACTGTATAATGGATGACTCAGAAAGTCACTGTGTAGGCGGAATCGCCTCTAAACCTTTCTAAAATTAAAAAAGGAGTGAAAATGAAAGGCACAAAATCGATCAATTTAGGGGAAGTTTGTTCTAATCTGGAGAAAACCTTCTAGAATTCGACGGATCTTTCGAGTTCGAGTACATGCTGATCGAAGTGAAGAGGAAGAGTTGATAAATTCATGGCGTCAACTAATGAATACCATCGTGGAGGCGATGAAACGTGGCTATGAAGGGTGTCCATCTCAAAAAACACCCATGAGGCTTAGCATAACGAAGTAAGTCACCAGTCTGTCGATATATCAATCTAAAAATTATCGCCCAATTAAGCTGATTTCTGCTTTACCATTCACTTCAGCCATTGATTTCAGCAGTATTATCTCAATGGCTTCACTACGATCAGGACGAAGTCGTTCGGCTTCACAATTCCTGGAGCCCAATTTGTCTCCAGTCATGGGTAAGGGTATAGCTTCTGCCATCTCCGGATTTTACTTAAGATGGACCTTAATATTAATTATTCAAGTGCTTTGTACAGCCTCAACTAAAAAATGCACCACATAAATAGAGGCGCTCTGGCTGAGAGATTCATAAAGTAAAAGGAGTGTGTTCCGGTTGTGTAAGGTATCATAGATCATGGGCAGGGAGCGGGATGTGTAGAATAAGGAATTTCTTACACTAGAAAGGACCAATTTGAGCTTGATGGTAGAAATTTGAGGTTTTCAGTCTGCACGAATACTCCAGTACACTCATCACCAGCATTGAATTATCGTAGTCGAAGTATTTTTCACGGAAGGGCACGACAACGACGTGATAGTCAAGATCTCTCTTCACAGCGGAGGTACAGTAGCCCAAAACATCGTTCTTATCCTTCTTTCGTCAACAAAAGCTCACAGTCCACTCCCAGCAAGCAAAGTAGTTACAGGTTGAGTTCTCCGAACAATGCCGCTAATCGTAATAGTAGCAACAATGATCTTCTTCGGATTGAAGACACCAAAAATACGCGAGAACAACGGCGATCGTTGACGATAACACCGTTCCCTTGACTGTTCTGTATAAATATTGAATATTATGATATTTGCATAAATGTTTTACAGAGTCTGAGTCAGTTTAGAAAAATCGTCATTTATGTTTAACCGGCGAAGTTAGACAAAAGACGAGTAGAGCAGTTACTGCACACCTGGTCGAAATATCGAGTCTTGAAGTGAGATCCTATTTTTGCAAAGATTTCCTTCATTTGCGGTGGCTTAATTAGTGATGGACGGTTTGTGAGCGGGCGATAACGTCCGTTAGACTGACACTCAGATGTTCTCGGTAATTAACTATCTAATCAATTTATTTATTTATTTATTTATTTAGTCACGCTTATGATGGATGCGCCAGGATTTGAATAGCTTCAGTGAGGAAAAGCGTAGAAGTTGACAGGAGAACGACTTACTCCTGTCAGATCCAAATCAGGTCAACACTATCTATGGCAGCAGATTCTGGAGCCATTTCATTTGTAGCAAACTTGGAAGTAAGTAGGCGGCAGTTCCACGATGAGGTGAATCTATATCATGCTCAAATGGAAGTTTTGCCTTACTTATGTCGTGGAATCGTATCACCGCCTACTCCATGCTCTCAAATTTTCTGACAAAAATGGCCTTTTACATTGAACTGAGATGAGAGAGAGTTCGAACGGATTAAGGTGGAGTTTTGATCCGGAAGAGAAGTGGTGAGCCAAGGCTTACATATGAAGTCGTATGCTGGAGAAAGTTATAGGAACAACTACGAAGCCGTGCTTGGATCATGCCGAGATCAATGGAAATGGAAAGCCGGCCATGGAATATTTTGAAGTTGAGAACTTTTCTTCTTCTCGAATTTCACCCCGCTGTTGCCCAGGGAGTATGACCCGGAATTCCTACAACATACAGAACATCCTTACTGATCAACGTTGCCATTCCCCATAAACGCTTCGGTTTACGTCTACGTTTTTGGCCGAGTAATGCCGAGGAAACTTGATGCACTTGAGCGAAAGGCGCTTTAAAACTTAATAGGCCGTGAACCATTGCGTAATGTGATCGAAAGATCCGGATTTTGTGGCTGATATGACATCGGCAGAATTTGAATACAAAGCTCTGAGGCCATGGGACAAAATTTCGTTCACGGAAATATCACCATCTTGCTACTTTCTTCCTGGATTTCTGGTTCTTCGAGTCATTCGAGGAGGATATCTAACAAACCCCATTATCAACCCCCCCCCTCCCTCATCCTCAACTGCTCAGTCTCATACGATGTTGGAGGTTTTATCAACAGCGGTCTGCTTCAATTTTGGTTGTTGCAGAACCAACAAACGCTTCTGCGATTGGTAATGTTCAGGGCAGGAGGATGTACTCTACATTCGTCTTGATGTCACAACAGGTATTTTAATTGACTGCGTGTTCTACCAATGGAATCAATGAATCATTTTTTGATGAAAGTCCTGTTCAGTACACTCTCATATCATGCGGTATCAAATTAACTATCCTGAGTAGGACCTGTTCGAATAAGATGGAATCAGTCCGGATAGGGCACAGTCCAATTACAGTTCTAGAGACATGTATCGATCAAAAAAGTAACATACCGCAATACAGTAATTCAAAAATGACATAAGGGAGAAATAAGGAACAGGCCCTGTTGATTCTTCTCATTTTTTCGAAAGCTCAGAACAAAAAATCTTTGAAGTTCCTGATCTAATGGAGGATGTAGACTATTGTTTTTTGGCGCCAGTCAATTCCGGTGTGGAATGCACCCCGCATTCAGCTTCCATTCAGAATCGTAGTGGCGTTCTGATACCGAATGTGTCCTATAAAATGACTTGCGGTGGCCGAGCAATGTACAAATTAGCGCTTTCATCCTCCCAGGCGAATCTATCCCTGATTAACCGAGGTTTTAGGGATGGAAGGTTCGACTGGCTTGGTAAAAACAAGTGGGAGACCAATTAATTTCGAAATTTTATTTACACAAAGGAAACTATTACGCAATTTAGACAGAAATTATTTACATGAAAAGAACGACTATTCAGGCTAAAATGTTGATCGCACTGGATAGGAAAAAAAGAAGACTAGTGAGCTTTAAATCGGTTTCTATTTCGAATTTCCGACAGATTCATCCGTTTCTGGGAAGTGATCGCTCGAAAGAGTTGACTTATTGTTCTTTGTAGTCAGTATTTCCCCATTTTTGGATAAATCTATCGAATTTTAGACCAGATTCCAATCACCGCATCAATGATCTTACTTAATTTCAGCGCCAATAAAATCATTACACTCAAACGAAAATGTCCATTCTCATTAAATCAGATCACAAATAGCCCTATTTCCTATTGAAGGGAATGGAAAGCTGAGCAAAGAGCAGAATTATCTGGGAAAGAAGAGAAAATAGAACAAAATCACAAAGCCTCCTATGAACAAATACACATCAACAAACAATATTAAACAGATAGAGCCAGATAGGCTCAAAAGCAATGACATTACCCATAATCTTGATTGAAAAGGCATAGCTTAATGCTAATTGCAACTGAATAGCTACCTAATCTTGAAAAACCTTTTCACATCCTCCGTGAGCAGAAAAATTACCGGTAATAAAAGCAAAGCATGGAACATGCCCAGGATCCCTACCAGCAACACCGTCTTCCAGAACACAGCAACGACATAGGCTTTTACAAACAGCAACGGTAACATCCCTGAAATCACGATCCCCTCTTTTGGTAGTCTATTGTTTATGTTTTGTTTATACTTGTTTATTCAAATCTAATTGCTTTGAAGCAACTAAGGAATCGACTAGTGGAAGAGGGTTCGGTCAAAGCCGTTCCCACTGCTCGCATGTGTGGAGCATACGCCATGACGGGATCGCCCAGCACTTCTTGGCCCACGTCAAAGCGATACTCAGTTTTCGCAGATATCTTTGTAATGGACAGACGATTGTATCAAGCCTGTGTCAAGTACCTCTGAGGAGGTTGGATAAGTCTCTACAACCTCCCAGGAATGCCCAGAACGGACATGTTTTAAAAGTCAGGAAAGAGATATGTCAATCTGACTGCCAGCTTCTAGTCAAACCATAAATTATTGCAGAGCTGTGGCGAGGTATCGAATCTCAAGTTCTTCACCTTGGCTTATCGGAGGATATCTTATCAATTGCAGTACACCTATTACAATTTGTATCCCACTAGTAAGAATTGATTTTTTTCTGAAACCCCCCCCCCCCCCCTTTCTTCTGATTCGCATATTTTTTACTACTAGGAGAAACTTTACCTACCGATTATGGTACTCAAGCCGCTTTGAACGACCGGCCATCCGACGCCGTGGAATGTGGCCAGTAGTCGCCTGGCTGAATCCTCTTTTGCTGATTTCTTCAAGGGTTTATGAATCGACTGGCTGCTACCACTGCCACTGCTACCAGACTCAACCGAATCTACTTCGTTCTGTAATGACAGAGCCTATATGGCAAGTAAGAAAACAATTCTAGGAAGTAATCAGTATCTGATTTCCTCTAAAGGAATCGATTTATTGATTTGCCTACCTTACGTTCACGCTCCTCTTCAGCAGCATGAGCAAAGTAATGGTAACAGACATGAGCAGAATAGTCAACGGAAAAACCGACTGACATCAGAATACTGATCAATGACACAGCGTCCAGACAAACACCCCACAAATGAAGGTAAGCGACGATACCTAAAAATACCAGCAGATAGAAGCACATTTTTGGATTTCTGAACTTTTTCATCTATTCCGACCATTCAACCCACCTAGGCAGATGGACACGATCGACACTACCACCGAAATGATCGCCTCCCAATTCATCACAAACAGAAGGACCAGTATGGACATCAAGATCACGGCTGATACTGAAATAAACGAATCAATTGATAACTGTAAAGCGGAATTGCACTTGTAGGTGCTAATTATGGAAACCCTTTTCGAAGGCATCATAGGGGCAGAAGAATACCCGGAAAATGGCAATAGCCCAGAAGATGCACACAAAAACCCAGTTCTTCCCTCGCCGTCTCTTAACCTATTCCAAATGGCGGTACCGTGAACAATTCGGAATTTCTCTAGCCCTCGGGAGGTCGAAGAAGGGAGGGAGCTTCTATGGGAAGCCTTTCAAGGTGAGCAAGGTTTTCTATGTAAAAAGTACATATGAAGGCGTAAATGGCACGGAAAATTAATGGCCTGATTCAAGATTGCTTGGGAATGGGAAACCGTATGTTTTATCTGAAGTCTTTTGAAATGAACATGCCCACTGAAGAATGGAGAAAATGGCCACCACCAGAAGTCGAGAACCTATTCAGGGATGGCAATTCTGACGACATCATTTCAATCGATGCCGAATGAATCATGGATTAGAACTTTTGTTAATCCTTCGAGGCTAGCCCAACTCTAGCTAGTTATGGAAGCAGTAAGTTATGCAATCGGAATCTTGCAGTCAGTCGATGAGGCACTACAGCTTGATCAGTTCGAAAGTATGGCAGGCACAACCGGATCCATTTTCCCAGATATTTTGATCATACCGCTGAAGCCACATGGTTGTAAGGGATGTAAGATCTCAAGCTCGAACGGCGTAGGATCCTACACCCATGTAACTTCAGCGGTTTGATCAACACCGCACTTATCGTCGCCTCTCTCGAACCCGTGGGCAGCTTGTTCTCTGTGGTTCCACGATATTATTTGCTCGAATGCTCCTTAATCCCATTAGCTACCGTACCTTTTTCTCAACCAAGTAAGTTTTAACGAGATTCTATAAGTACCAGCAGTCTGCAAGAAGTTCTTCGGTGCACTGGCAGCACTTTCTGTTGGGACTTTCTCGAACGGATGATGAGAAAGCACTTGGAACTGTGGGTAGGAGGCGAGGAGATCACGTCTGAAAAAGTGGACTCTTTGACAAGTCTAGAAGATACTACATGAAATTTTGTACGTTGGTTTTAATCTTTGTCAAGGCTTCGGAACAATTATTCCGTTAAATGACTTCAAAGGTATTTCTGACATCCCGAGGTTTTGGCTCTACTTGAGGAGCAATCTTAAATTCCATAAATCTCTAGGGATATTGAAGACGGAAATCGTGCTAACCGCATTCGCATAAATTCCATAACTTCCAAAAACGACCTCATGTTGTGGTAATCGATCATGAAGTAGAAACCATCCATTACTTCAACACCGTTCTTGTTTTTCCTGAAAACTTTCGATTACTTTGTCAATTGAACGATTGTAAATTTCGAAAAGGAGTTCGCAGGAGTAGATGGTAAGGAAGAACAAAGAAGGATGTGAGGAATGCAAACGAATTAGGTTAAAGAAAAGCACATAGAGGAAGAGAAAGAAGATAAGAGAAAGAGTCAGAAAGATTTGGAGGTTGTCACTGGAAAGCGGTATGTTCACAGATGACAGGGACTGAGCAAAAATTCACTGAAGAAATTCAAAAAAAATTCAGCATCAAGGGGAGAAATATCAAGTTGCTCTTCATGGCAACTGATTACTGTGCCCAGAGAATGGATCCGTAGAACAAATAGGAGGTAGTTTGATTCTTGAGTTAGCTTACTTGAAGGTGCTCTTGTTCATTTGAACAGCTGACAACTTCAGCTCTACCGTATCCAGACATTTTAAGATAGAAGCTACAGTACTACTGCCAGCTACAGTACTACCGCTATGTTCAGACTCTTTCACGACTTTCACAGAAGCTTTAAACGAAAAGAACGCAATGGTTGGGATCCTTCGAGTAAGAACGACCCACTAAACCGCTCTGGCTCTCGACAGGGACCCATGAAGACGTTCCTGGAGCTGATGGGGGTAAATCGCTGATCAACTAGGCTACAGGATACATAAGGTTACTGTAACATACAGAAAATGAGATCTCTGGGAAGAACGAAAAGACAACGGGATCTTATTGTGAATATGTTCAATCCTAATTGTAGATATTGAACTTACTTAGTGATGATATACTTCTCTTCCAATCCGTATTCGCGATAGTTTTTCAAAAGTGCTTCGGGTGACCAGTAATCTTGTTCCTCTTCTTCTTCCCAGAATTGAATAGTCTGAACATGGGAAAGTTACCGAAGTACGAGAATCGCCTCAATTTAGGAGTGGACATTGAAAAAATCAGAAAAATTCAATTTTGACTTCATGTTGTCAATTCTAGCGATACGGTAGTGAACTTACGGTATTATATTCTCTGAGCCAAAAAACGGTCGCTTCAGGTCCCCAACCGTATTTCGGAAGAGTTTCCAGTTTCCCGACCATTTCGTTGAAACGTTCTCGTGTACTTTCATCAGAAAAATCCGGCATCGGTTTTACAGCAAAGTTTACTACGAACGATTCACGAAGGACGAAATCCTAAACATACAGATTTTATCGAAATTTATAAAAAAACCATTTTCAAAACTCAAAAACCAAAGATGGAATTACAGATAACGAGATACTCAAAGCNGATTATTCTACCTGCATTTGTCGTGAAATCTCTGTGAGAGGTGATCCTTCCAGGTAAAGATTTTCCATATTGAAATCGGTGTTTACTTTGGTAGCAAGGTATGTGCTCACCTGAAATAATAGAAAATAAGACCGAATCCTCATCTACATATACATACCCCCCCCCCTACTTCCTAAGTATCTACCGAACATTTTGAGTCAAATATATAGTGAAAGAACAATATTTCACGAAAAAAAAAACTCACTCCAATGTGAGCAAAGAAGAGCAGCATAACAATGATCTTTGTGGTTTTCGTTTGTAGAATACTAACAAACAGCTCGAGCCGACTCTTTTTGGGCTTCTTCTGTTGAACTGGTGGCGTGAACGAAGGAAGCATGATGGAGAACACCATTGATTCATTCATTTTTCCTTTCATGTTGTCGCTAATTGAAGGGTTCGCATCCTGAAATTGAAAAAGAAAGTAACTTGGCTCGTTAGGTTACAGTATTTTCAAACTGTGTTTGGCATAGGGCATCCACATGGCTTCTTTGTGTTCGAATGTGCTTGATTCTTTCCAAATCTGACATCTTTCAAAGCGTTGAGTGTCAAGAGAAAATCTGCAGGCCCTGTTCAGTAGGTCTACGTTACGCAACCTTCAACAGCTGACCACATCTCTAACGTTCGAGGGACAAACTCGTCCAAGACGGAGTGTGGTGGCTGTCAAAAGCCCCACATACACTGTACCCTACTTGCGCCTTTCATTTCTATTACTTTGTGGTGTGGTTTGCAGTGGCCAGGCAACGTATGAGTCAATGCTTTTACCCTGGAAACCGCGTCTGGTATCACTGACCCCGCAGTTCCGAAAGTCTTGGTTTGCCTAAATGAACCTGGGATTCCATTCTCTACAGTGATGGTGTGATAGTGTTCCACTTGCCTACACCACTATCAAATCCAGAAATTCCCATGAAAATCACCTTAATCTTGCGCCCTTTGACCTTCTCGTCTATACTCATTTGACGACGCACGATGAAGCTCATCATGGCAGAGAAGAACGTCAACTGAAATGACTTTAGATTTTGGTGAATCCTGAACAAATCCGAGGATTCAATGTAATCACGTATATCGGATGTAGATTACCGGTTACCTGATAGACAAAGTCCAAAAACAGAGCCACTGTTGTGAACAAACAAAACAGTCGTACTACAGGCATGTTGGCAAACAGGCCAATAGCGAAGCACAGCACATCTATAAAAATCCACCGATATCTCTTGAATACAACAGACCTTGATTGTTTACTTATCCATTTGCTTATTTGTTTACGTATTTTTATTATTTTATCGCACTTTGATCATTTATTTATAAATTCAATTCCTCTTATACCAAAAATGATTAACTATGGTACGAATCAGCTCCAAGAAATCGATCGGGCGTTAGTTTTCACCAACTACTCCCGAAGTCCCAATCGATGGGGGGGAGGGGCTGAAATTGGTTTATCCCATTTTGATTTTTCATAGACTCAGAAACGAGAAATCCTTTTGTTTGTATTAATCAATAAGGATACGGTAGAAATAGTGTTCCGTAGCTTGTTTTTGTAGTCTTTAAAGTATTCTGTCTATTCCTAGGTTGCTACGATGATGTTCCTCGTCGTCAGCTAAGCCGACTTTATAAATCCAGCCGCTCCATCCGTTTCCAAATCCTCCTATTCATAGCTCCAAATCGTATGCATGCCAAATCGTCAAAACAATGTTTTATAGAGCTGTTTTATAGAGCAATCTTTGGATCAATAATCGATTATTCCACAATGCAACATCATTACCGTAACTTTTGTTTCATGGAGAAGAATCAAAAAGCAAATGAATAGTTTAGAATCGTTCTGTGTTAATTCTATTAGGATTGACTTCACAAACAGTTTTTTCGTGTCTCCGAGAGAATTCCACGGAGAACGAAAACTTTCCATGAATTTCTCTCTAACTTTTTAACCACTTTCCTAATTGTCTGATTCCAAGGGAATAGCTATGGTTATCATTCAAATGAACCGGTTATTTACGGTTCTGGTTAGGTTTTGTTTTCCAACGGGACCGTTTTCATTTTGAGCAATGAACAAATTTTCTATCTATATCGTCACGATCACGGTTGGTACCAATGGTGGCTAGAGTGATAAATACCTGTCTACATTTTTGTGACAAATTGGTGAAATGGATTTCTTTACCTGTTACAGAAGTCACGGTTACCGATGCACCAGAAATGGAAATAGATTCAGCCATTCTCTGTTCGAGTGAGGCACCTTTTCTGAAAAAGTTTTCATCAAGAAGCTGAAAATGTGTTATAGAGTGGATGCCTTTGTAAGAATTCGCATTGCAAAAGAGTTGAGAGAAGTCGTTCAATTTAGAAGAATTAGGTGATAATTACAAGGGGAAAGAAGTGATGAAACCCACGTTGATTGTCTCCATCCAGCCAGAACCAGAAAAGCGTCATCGATGCCGATAGTGACTACGAGGAAAGGAACAACAGTGAGAATGTTCGAGAAGGGGAATCCCATCCAAAACAGCAGTCCTGAGCTAGTCCACAGAGCCATTGCTGGTGAGATCATTCCGACTACTGACTGAAAACATCAACAGATGGAATCACGAATCTATACATACGAATAGATGAATCTTGTACTTTAGGAATAACCATAAAATTATGAAGTATTCCAATTTCATAAAATCATAACACTATCAGGGAAAATGATCATGAATCCTACTGGTTTTAATAAAAATGGCCCTTCCTCTACAGTACAATGTAATTTTCATGTTTGTGCTATTTGTTTCTAGGATTATCATGAATCAAGAAATTTCCGAATTTTCCTTATACATAAGTCGTAGTCTGGGCAAAAACATTTTGGAGGAATTCTTTGTAAGAAGAAAATAGTGCTAAAATAAGTCAAGGTTATTGAATTCTCTCAAGACCATTTTCATTCCCAAATAATGCCATACGCTCATGCCCAACTCGTTCGCCATTTTTCTGTCCTGCACTGATAATTATTCATTCGTTCGAGTCTGTAGCAAATGTGTTTACAGAAGGAAAGGTCCGAGCAAGCAGTTTGCTCGTAAAGTGTCACACTTTGTCTTGGAACCGATCTCGAATGACCATAAACTACTAGAAGACTTTGCAGCCGCTAAGAGTCCAACCAAGGTTGTTTTCACTAACATTCATCAGCGTTTTTTCTGCCATTATTGCAATTTTTGACATTTTCTGTGTTATTTAAGTACTTAGTAGCAGTTAAACTGGCAAAATATATTCGGAAATTTACCTCCAAGTATTGACTGCGATAAAGTGGAAAGTCGACAAGCGTTATGAACATGAAACCAATTAACACCAAAGCAGTAACACCCAGAAACGGTAAGGCAGTGATAGTAATTGCCCTAAAATTGGTAAGCAATAGTAAAATATGTTAGAAGTAAGTATGGAACACATTTCTTGAGTCATTCTTTCGTCTTTTTTGGGACTTTCCCATGTATCCGATTCCCTTGCAGAATCTTGTAATCGTATGAATGTATGTCTGACCTATACAATGACTTGAGGAGGCCTGTCGAGTAACAGGTCAGCTTTTTATCCCTTCAAGACAAGTTTCGTGTCGTAATCGACATAACACAGATGAAAGGCTCGGGTAACTTGGACAGGAATCGGTTCAAGAAGTGCCTACATGTGTAGTAGACGCGCCATTTGGCATTACACTAACTACGCCATCGTTAAGCATTCAGGTTCAAAGAAGACGATAAACTGCCATCGTTTATTGGCAGCCCATTAAGGATCTAGCCTAGATAGTAACGAATCGATCGCTTCGGGGAAACATTCGAACAGTATAAGGTTTAAATCGCCCAGGAAAAATTCTGATTCTTCTGGGAACAAAGTGAAATCCTCTACCATATATAGCATTTTTTAAGTAGTGACCTAATACCTCTGCTCTGAAATCTCTCGATCTCTGCTCAGCAATGAATAAGTGAAGTGTGTCGATGTTTCTGTCAAAGCGTTGAAGATTCGATGTAATTTCCGCTCGTAGGCTTCGGCGAGTTTCTTTCCATGGGGTAATGATGTGTCGACCTGTAGTGGTTGTTCAGAATGATTTCATACTTTCCTTGTGAATGTGCACATCAAATAGTTACTGTAAATTAAAAAATTAGGCTTTGCTAAAATTTTTTATAACGGTTTGCACGGAGAAATTTTTCAAAAAAACAGTGTTTTGGCATGAAGGTAAGCTCTCGACTGAGTTGAGGTTATCAGACGAAAATTGAAAATTTTCAATTCAGGGACCAGTCGAATAGTTTCTGCTCGTGAACCTCAAAAGGGTAGCCTTCAAAAAACAAATTTCAACAGTTCCTACCATGAAGTGAAGTAGTAGCAGCCGTGCTTCTTTGACTTCATCAGGATTATCTTCGCGATAGGTGAGGTTTCCCAGTGAAAAACCGAGGAAAACTCGTTTCTGGAAAGAGACTGCATCATTTTTTCTCTGAATGTTCTATAGTACATTTTTGATAGCCTGAGGATCATCTACCATAATCGGGCCAAAACTAGCTGGAATAAATCATCCAACATGAACTTTTACAGAAAGATTACAGTTGATGTTCCTATGTAAAAGCGCCGCTGATGGATGACAATTCGGTCAAGCCAGTTCAGCGGGGTATTTTTTATTCGCTATTTCTCATGAAAGAAAAAAAACGATTTGTTAGTTGTCATTACTGTGGCTTACACCATTACACCAATGAAAACCTCTAAAAACCTGCTGGAACATAATTCATGTTGAATGATGATGTCCTTACTTATCTAAAAGGGCAGAAGGGAAGGAGAGAGGGGGGAGAAAGATCGTTTCGTCGCCAAGCACTAATCTTTCCGATGTTTGAAAAACTTCTTTTTTTAGAAACTGTACTTTTGAAGTTCGTGCACATAGCGCCCTAAATGATAGTCTCAACAGATCAATCATGAAGCCTATCCCCTTTGCGCTGATCAAAAATCTTTCTCAACTTATAGAAATGTATACAAACCCCAATGCGATTTGGAATTTGGGGTGAACACGGGAATCTTCTCTGAGAAGGGTGGTGAACGAAGACTTCCTTCTGTTACCCCCTCACCCCGAACACGATGATAAGGATATCAGTCTAATTTTGGGATGCGTCCCCTTCTATCGAATGTCGTCATGGCGTTTAGAAGGTGTATGTGGCTGACACAACCCCTTTTGCGGTTGCCATCCAATGTTCAGGTCGGTGCTTTCATCCTCCCAGATGAGCCTGGTACAAATTAGCCAACCCCGGAGATATAGAACGCTTCGCCAAAGCGAGTATTAATTCTGGACTTGAACGATGGACCGTGCATGTGTGGTAGAGTGCTACTTGCCACCACATCACGCTCTGTCTCCTACTAGATCCCTTCATGATCCAATCAGGTCAATCAGGACTTTCCCTCCCTCTACCGTGACCCTCATCCCTTTTTTGAAGCTGTTTGTGAATACTGACCTGAAGAGCTTCAGCATTGGGGTAAGTCAGTCTCATAGGTCCATCCGAACTAATTGCAGTCTAAATACAAGATACTGCTGTTGCTGATATCATCTAAGTAAACAAATAAACAAACAAATGTCGATTGGAAACCCACCTGAAGGAACAAGATGATGGCAGCGTTGCTATCTTCGCAATAGACGCCACACATATCTGCGTAGTGGTATTCCTGACTACCATCCGTAATGGTAACGTTTTCAGTGATGAACTAAATGTTTATAGTAAATTCCAAAATACTTTTCAATGTGAATGATATATCAGAATAAGCTGAAGTAAGCTTTCGAACTGACTTTTTGCACTTCATAGAGCTCATCAAGACCTTGTATGGTCAAAATATTTCCGCCATCCTTTCGTGTAACCAAAATCTGCATCTGAAATCAATCAATAGCTATGGTTTCCACAAAGCAAACAACATCCCTCGAAAACGTTTGCAACGGCTCAAACTCGTTTCTCACGCCGACCCTCAACGTGAAAACTCAGTGAAAGTTGGTGCTAGCATCGTCACCTACGGCGACGGTTGTTTTGAGAAACAGAAAAGACCAATTGACTGGTCTGACTCTTTGAAGAACGATCGATTTTCAAGGTGTACAAAGAGCTCTACAGCTTTTTGTGTCCCCAGTAGACAGGAAACCATGTCGTTAGAGGGTCTAAGGTCGTCTACGCGATAAGAACGTTTTAATAGAACTCATACGCCTTTGTATGGTCTTGTCCCAGGTGCCAAGCGACCATTCTCACAGTCGTTTCCCTAGTCCTTTCAGTTACTGTCGAGAACTGCCAGTTTGCTAGGCGCTGCCTTCAAAAATGTTCTTTTCAGAGTAGACTTTCAGAGATTCATCTGCACTGTACGGGTTTGGGTTAAATCCTGACTCTTGCCCTTTCAGGTCGGACGGTAATCGATCAAATCAATAGCCAGGGGAATTTAAAGTTAATCAGGAATTCTGTCATTCAAGAACAAGCCCACTTCCGACCAGAACACTAACATGCATGATTGATAATTTGATGAAAAGTTCACGTGATCGTTCTCTATGTGAGTTCTTATCGTATTGGATACCGTACTGCTCTCTAGGTAATTTATAAACTGATTAGATGATGGGGGGTTTTTCATAAATTGTTAAACCTTAACCACTCTTACTGGTGAGATTGACAAGAGACCAAAACCAATAGAAAGTAGGAATTTGAATTCAATGAACCGGAATCTCATCCAAACCTTCAGGTACTCAAATTTACCTTTCAGATAGGTGAAGGCTATAGCCTTCAGATCAGCCTTCATCACATACCCATTCCTTTTTTCTACAAAACTTTTACTATTTACCCTGTAATGGTGAGATCCGGAGGCGTATTCAAACGGCTTTAACGCTTGCTCTTCGAGGCGTGATAGGCCATCTAACGGTGCGTACATATCCCATATATCGTCTTGTGAATGGAACGATAACATGCCATAAGAAGAGATAATGGTGAGTAACACTGGTACGATCTGCAAATAAAAACTCACGTATTTACTTTTACCAAACTAGTTCTAAACGGAACTATCGGTCTCTATCATTTTTATTACTGGCAGGGTAACGTCTGTCTTGAACCATTACCGTAATCATCATACGACCCTGTCTGATCATTACAGTATGTAAATAATTATTCTCAGAAATCGATTAATTTCATGATAAGGAGATACCAGTCTGGCGGCAGTGTATACGGTATGGTGGTCGAAATGTTCTTTAACAAAAATGCCACGAAGTCACAAGAACAAAACATTGGCCGAGAACGGTCCCTCCAGTTCCGTCAACATGAAGTTTTTGCTTGGGGTTTTTTCCTACTCGAAACGTCACTTTAAACAGGAAATCTCTCTAATTTTTTCAATACAAAGAGAACTTACAACAAAAGGCCATGGATGACGAGCGAGAAAGTCGCCATAGGCATAGAAAAACCGCTCTAGCGGTCTCATATCTGAAATTGTTGCCTCTTTTTTCAAGGGAATTCAGACAGGTCTACGAAAATCCACGAAAAATCGAATTTAATCAAAAACGAGCGCAGAATCCCAATAATTCGGGCAAAAAAAAGCGTATACTACACGAGTACAGTGCATCTCATCAGAAAGTTCTTAAGGAAGCCCCAGAGGGAACAAAGAGCTGCGTCAGAGCGATATATGAATGGAAAGTTGGTTGTAGATGTGACGACGGAGTTTTTTCCCATTGGAAAAAAACCGACGAATGGATACAATAACAATACTTGTGATATGGGTCCTGGTGAAAATGTACTTCCTATACGGATCCCTAGAAGATGGCTGTTTATGAGATGGAAGGAAATCTGAATAGAGAACATCGATGACCCCATATTTGAGGAAATCAAGAGCGGGTTACTATCAGAGTAAAGAACTTCGAATGAGAGCAAACGAAGAGGAATTCGAACTAGTTCCCATAGATTGGTTTGCAGTTTTTTCACTTTATTATACTCTAAATTTGTTAAAGTGAGAGTCACCGTCGCCTGCTGGCATAGTTGGAGGCCTAACAGCCTCCCAAACGCCTGTCGTTCAAGTACGTCTCCTGCAAGTCGAAGCCATTAATGTGGAAAGAGTCTGATAGAAAGGCAGTAATTCCAGTTCGTTCTATGAAAAGACTAGAACGAGCTCATAAATGGTACGAGAGAAAACAAATGTCACTGAATCACAGGCGCCCTTATCATATCACACAGTGATTGATAGGGTTCTACAGTAATTTTTAACGGCCGCACTCCTGCAAAACTCAAACCGAAGAAAGATGAACTTTTTGATGAAATAACCCTTCAGCAGTCTTTGGCCTTAGCAAATACAAAATTGAGACAAATCAAGCAAATTGGTAGATGTATAGAGAGCTAAAACTGAAATGACCCAGCCTTCCTCGCTCTCAGAAATATTCCCCACACAACTGGTGCCAACTCCAGAACCCCTTTATAGTTCCATTACTCTATCTAACAATAGCCAAGGAATGCATCAACAGGGACTAAAACAGATTGATGCTATTTCACATTCCATTGAACGACCTGATATTCGATAACAGTGGACTCCTGACCGAAAGTGGAAGTCAATGAGCACAGAACTCTCTTGGGGACAGGCAATTTATAGGCTTGAATAGACCTGGACAAATCTGTGTATGGAGTTGTGTCATGACGTCATCAATGATGACAAGTTCTTTTAGTAATATTAAAAGAAGCAGGTAGTTGGCTAGAGCTAGTACAATTCGGAAAAGGGGTGGTTATTCCTCTTTGATGGATGAAAATAACACGTCACTAAAAAAGTCCATTCCATCCAAGAATAGGATTATCGTAATATTGTAGAGCCCGAAAATCTCTTTATATATATGGAGAAATCTTGAGCAAACCTGATTTATATGTTGAACCATTCGGTCAGCCGCTGTAGACAAAGACTGAAGACTACGGCACCCAAGGTGGAAGGATTGTGGGTGGGAGGATGGGCGGAGCGGGGCGGGAACAACGCTCGATTCCTGATGCAAATCTCACAAGGAGCATGATCTGGGTACAGCAGGTGACAGTTACTACAACGCTAAATTGATCTGAATGCCCTACCTACAAGCAAAATTCAAGCCTTTAAGGTTTGAAATATAATTATTTTTCGAAAATTCAAAAATAAAATTAGAAAGACGGAAATTCTTCAGAAACTTTTACTTTTGCTCTGAAATTGAACCATAAAAAAATGGCAAAATGACAACCCATAGGTTTAAACAAATGCTCATAATTAAGGATATCGATCGATGCGCCATGCATCCTAAGTGGACTCGAAAAGGTGTTCCAGACTACAGTTACTATTCTGGGAGCTACATCAAACGGATGGACTATAAATAGATGATCAATTTGGTTAGTTGAGGTTATGATGTAGCATCAGCGTGAGGTTCATGCAGTAACCCAGTCCACTGTGGGTAGAAAGTTGAGAGGACAATAGCCAGATATATACCGTGGCATAGGAGCAGATAAACATAGCTACTTAGAACTTAAACTCACAGGGTAGAATTGAGATGTTGTTTGTTTAATCGGGGCTTTCAAAGGTGAAGAAGGAGGAAATTTGCAGCGAGGTTGAATAACGAAGGGCCTCACAATTAGAGAGCCGTTCCATGCGGGAGGTTTCAAAAAGATAAAATCTGTGGCTAATACAGTCCCCTTCGATACTTAAAACTGCTCTTACTCGCCTATTAACTTCAAAATTGTCAGTGTTACGAAGATCGATGGGATTACGGTAAATCCGGAGAGCGTATCGAATTTTTTATGTCATGCAGAATACGGTCGGTCAGGAAAGTGTGGAAAAAATCTACAGGCACACTGATCTGGTTGATGATTCACAGGAGCAGCCTTCGTACTGTAACTTATAGGTCCTTCATTATTACGTCATAGTTACAGCGAGATCACCAATAACAACAAAAAATCGCAAAAAAAAACACTGAGGCGCCTAAGAGGAAACTGTGTAAAGCAAAGTTTGGAGAACAGAACAATGAAAACGATCACAGCTAGAAATGGAAGTGTGACAAGTTTGGGGTTTGTTCTCGAAGTTTTTCCCCAATCGTCACTCAACATAAGGAAGTTCTTCAGAGCAAGGGTCAACATCTGGACGTAGAATGTCGTAATCTGTCATTTAAACGGTGCCCATTCAATTCGTGAACCTTCTGACAGAATACTTTTAATAAATCGTATTGCTACTTTCGGTAATTTCAGGAGGAACTACGAAAAAATGGAAGGGAATAGAAATCAGCTGAATAAGTTTTGTTCATGTGAAAGAGTTATGATGTTACTTATGAAATGAAATTGTCCTGGACATCTTAAAGAATTCATCCATCAATTTTTGGAAAAAAGAAGTCTTTCTCTTTCTGTTCCTTCAAAACACTTGTCATACTCTGATATTTAATCATTTTAGGATATTTCTTGAGAACAAAACAAATCTCGAAGCAGTTTAAAACTTCTTCTATGGCATCGAATACTTTGGGCTCCAAGGATCCAAACTCAGGGATCCGACAAGGATGGCGTTCTCCTTGCCCCTTCAGAGAGTAACTGAACTCCCATTTGATCATGTAGGGCTAATTTCAGTGAAAGGGAAGTACTTGACCATTTCGGGTAATTTCAAATAAAAATAAAACGAGCTTCAGAGCAGTATGAAGCATTCAGACAGGAAGATGGTGAACTTCAAGTGTTCGCGAGGCGAGCCTGACCGAAAAAGTTCCTTTCGACCTTTCGAAACCAGCGAACACACTCTAATATTTGTTTAATCCGAGTATTTCTCCTAGAAACAGAATCTCAAGATACTTCAAAATCGGAAAAAGCATCAAGATGAGGGCCACAAGTATTCATCTTCAATTTCTGACAAAAACTAAATTCAGTCGACTTTTTCAAACGCCAACCACTTGCTAGTACTTCACTGTTTCGAGAAACTTTTTACTGGAAGCAAAACGTTTCGAAAAAAAACTGGAAGCACCTAGAACATCTAAAAACCGTCATGGGAAACGAACACAAAGACCAAGCCGAAGTCGCAGGTAAATGGCGCCCAGAGAGCAGTCGATGGGGTTGAACAAATCGCTTTGTTTTTGCACTTTGTCACATTTCAACGCTAAGGTGGTGCTGGTATCCGTCGCGTCAATCGAATTCTTTTAATTCTTCTCTATCTTCGAAGACTCTCCAAATTGATCATTTAAGACGATCGTGAACGGAAGACTTGATTGGTTTTGGGCTAGTTTTCTGACATATCACGAGATCGACTGTGTTTTATAAGAATGAACTCTTGCGAAAGAAATTCAAGTACTACTTCGAACTGGTAGCCGAGATTGATGACAACGATTTATTGACTATTCTTGGGCGTTATCACCTTACTTGGCATCTCAATTATTCGAAACTTCTTTACAACAAACTAATCGTCCAAACTTCATTTTAACCTTCAGAAATCGAATAACAGACTGGTATAACTTTTTCAAAATCAAAGCGGAAAGGTTCAGTGCTGAATGGTAGAGACTCAAGTCAAAGTAGAGTCATAAATCAGTGCGGAGTTCAGGACGAACAACAAAATTCATCTGAACCTACAGAAGCTAAACTTGATATTCAAAAATGATAATTACTAGTAATAAATAATATTGACAGGCATGCTTGGTATTCTGATAGTGTCCCCAAACGAAAAAAAAGAAAGCAGAAGTTCTTCAAACGTCAATCACAATGAATCCGGTTACAGCAAAGGTAGGTGGGTGGGAGTGGAGAGGGTAGAAAGCGAACGCCGTTCCGCTTCTCGGTAGTCCATACATCACCCATTGAATGACATCATCAATAGGGTAAAGGTATGAAGCACAGCACCCATTTTATGCCTTCTCTTCTCAATAGGTACCTAATCAGGTAAACCTACAGAAACATCAAAATGTTGCAGTATTGAGTTGGTAAGGTAATGGTGATAACCCTCTACTGTTGCCCTCTTTCGATGGCCACTTAAACACTAACCAAAGTTTCGGAACGCTTGCTGCCACAAAAGACATGTATTAATTATGGGTATTGATTTTACGCGCCCACGATCGATATCAGGCTTTACCATAAGTACTGGTCGTGCGAACGTGGAGTAATGAAAGGTAAGTTCGGAAATCTTAGAAATTGAATTCAGCCGGCT